CAAATGCACCCCAAAAATGGACACAGATGTAAATTTCAAACACAGAAACCAACTGAACTTTTCAGACCCCCAGGCCTCAAAAGATACTGAACTATAACTTGACCGCTTCCAAATGAAAACTTGCCTCTTTCCGCCTGGATTGTTGTGATGCATTCTACATGTGGCTGCATCTAGAAACTATTCAGAAATGTCAGTAGGTCCAAAATGCTGCTGCCAGGCTGCTCGCTGGGGCTGTTTGCAGGGAAGACATCGTTCCCTTGTTGAAACAGCTTCACTGGCTACCATACTGTTTCTGATGGTGAACTGAATATACACACTTACATACATGGAGATACAGCACATGTACAGACTATCTAAAAGAACATGGGCCTATACTCTGAGTCAGTGTTAATTTCATATTGGGAGAAAGATGAAATATAAACTTTCAGAAAAAGGCTCCAAGTAAAATGGCTGGAAACCAAAGTTTGATTCCATAGATCTGAATCCACGCAGAGAAATAGGATGCCTGTTCTACTACCGGTATTAATTTCCTTAGCTGTGCTAATGTGCTTATCATCTATCACTGCAACTGCCAAAGGTCATTTAAATTCTTTGGCACACTTTACTGAATGTTGCCAACAAAAAACAAATCAGGAATCAGCAAATATGCACCAAGGGAGTGTTTTTTTCAGACATGACAAACCAAACTCATATGTGAGATATCTCACTGTATATTCCATCTTCAGACAGAAGGGTGGGATGAATCATTCTTGTGATGAAAGGAAAGACTTAATTTTAAAATCATTTTTTAAAACTACTTGTTTCTACCTGTCCTTGATACCCAATTTTAACTGCTCAAGCCACATCACCTCTTTGAGTCAATGAAGATTTGGCTGAATTTTCAAAACAGATATCTGCTTTGTCCAAGTATTAATTATTATTAATTATTCATGTGTAATCACAATGGTCCTGACTATATCCTATTATATTGGCTAGATCTTCTTTAGAAATTGTCAGCAAAGTTCTTGCAGTTGCCCCTAAATAAAACAAGCAGCACCTTGCACCATCCACTTTGCATACTACCCATCCCTACCTCCAATACAGATGGGGCATTCCTGTGTAAAACACATGTATAGGTGAGATTTTATGAGCTTTTGTAATAACATTATCAGGCAATAGCTTTAATGTCCAAGTGATCTCAGATATTTTGACTTTTGCAGGAAAATCTGTCAGTCAGAAAAGGAATTTTCATAAGCAGCTCTTTAATGCAGGGGTGTCAAACTCATTTTCATCAAGGGCCACATCAGTCTTATAGTTGCCTTCAAAGGGCCGTTGAATCCATGGACGGAGAATCCATGGAGACGGGGTTGACAACATTTTTTTACATAGTGGTTGGTGCTCTTTAGTTTTTATCCAGTTTGAATCCCCAGATGATATTGAACAACTCCCATCACTTTTGATGATCGATCATTTGGACTGAGGATCATAGGAATTGCAATCCAATAGCATTTGGTTCTGGCGTTGGGGAAAGGTTGAAGGACATTATAAAGGGAGACATTGTATCTACAAGCCTTGGTTCCAAATCCAAACCCTACTCTCTGGACTAAAGATAACAAACTGCAGCCTCCCAACTCCCTTCAGCTCTGGTCATGATAATGTCTAGTGATGAGAAATACAAGAGTTGGAGTCCAGCATCTGGAGGGCCACATAAAATGACATGGCAGGCCAGATTCGGCCCACGGCCATTGAGTTTGACACATGTGCTTTAATGTATCTCACAGCTATGGCAGCTTGAATTGGTATCTTGTAGCCGCGGTGGCACAATGGGCTGCTGAACTGCTGACCTGAAGGTTGCAGTTTGAATCAGCGAGATGGGGTGAGCTCCCGTCTGTCAGCTCCAGTTCCTGCCAACCTAGCCGTTCGAAAACATGCAAATGTGAATAGATTAATAGGGTGAAAGGCAATGAGAAAAGGCAACGAGACTCTCCAAATGGGAAAAGATAACGAGACTCTCCAAGTGGGAAAAGGCAATGAGACTCTCCAAGCAGTCTTGCTGGCCACACAACCAGGAGGTGACAATGCAGGCTCTTCAGCTTGAAAATGGTGACAGCACCTCCCCAGAGCTAAAGATGAGCACCGCCACCGAAATGAAAGGAGAAGCCTCTGCCTTTGTTTGTGTTTGTATGCCTCATTGTATATAATTGTAAAGGAATTGAATGTTTGCCTATGTAATCTGCTCTGAATCCCCTAGGGGAGAGGGGCAGAATGTAAATACATTGTGTTGTTGTTGTTGTTATATTAAAGTAACAGCTCTTTGTTTAGAACTTCTGCCAATATTTATCAAAGGTCACTTTACCAGCACTCAAAATCATATCATTTGCAGTATGATTTTTCATTATAACTAGGTGGGCAAGTTATACTTTTGATATGATGATACTGCCATTTGACTCCATCATTCCATCCACATATAAAAATACTTGCCCAATGAAGGCCTCATCCATCTCAGCAGTGCCTCTGCAGATGTTCTAGCTCCTATACATGACTTCCTGATTTCCACTGAGACAGCCAGTAAGACCTGCGATAGTTTTGTGTGCTTAGGTCCCCTTGTTCATATAGTGCCTTATTACTTTCATTGCCTTGCCCTATTTGATGACCCCAAGCTTTTTTGGGGGGAAATGATGCCATAACCTTTAGGGAAATGGAAATCTTCATAAGCTTTTGAAAAATGGCATTCATTATCATTTGGAAAAATCAGCAATCTCCCTGAGAAGAATTCAAAACTTGCTTGAGTCAACCTTATCCCTAGTGGTAAATATCCACTAGCATTCATACAAGGAAATTGGGTTTCTCAGCTGTTAAACTGATATACGTACATATCTCTTTGAACTGTTAGGGACAAAGATATGCCAATGCACGATAGATAGATGGATAGATAGATAGATAGATAGATAGATAGATAGATAGAAAGATAGATAGATAGATATGTTCTTTCAGTTGTCCCAAAACATCTACTCTCCCTTAAAACATCTTACCGTAGTTTAAATCATGCTCTCCAGAGATCAAAAAATAAGTAGACTTCTTTAAAAGTACCATAGTTGGTTTATTGTAGGTTTTTGGGGCTGTATGGCCATGTTCTAGAAGCATTCTCTCCTCACATTTCACTTGCATCTGTGGCAGGCAACCTCTGAGGATGCCTGCCATAGATGCAGGTGAAACGTCAGGAGAGAATGCTTCTAGAACATGGCCATACAGCCAAAAAAAACCCTACAACAACCCAGTGATTCCGGCCATGAAAGCCTTCGACAACGCATAGTTGTTTTACTCACAAAGCTTCATGTATTCAGCATACAAGTATTTTGAATATCAATCAAGTTACAGATAGGATTTGAAGTAGTTTCTCTGTGCAGATAACACAGGGCATCTTTCTTATAATCAACAGTCATAGTCTAAAGCAGTGGTTCCCAACCTTTTTTTGACCAGGGACCAATTTGACAAGGGACCAACATTAGTACCAAAAGAGTTACAAATCAGTTTTTGGTCAACTTTAGATTCGGTTTGGTTATTTGTGGTGCTGATTCAGAAAATTGCATTGGATAGACCACAGCAGCACTAGTTTCTAATACAGAACATATGCCATGCAGTAGTCGCTGTTGTTGCAACAGTGTAGTAACGGTGAGGCCGGGGACCATATTTTAGTTCTTGGGGACCACTGGTGGTCCACAGACCACAGGTTGGGAACCAGTGGTCAAAAGCATCTCTCTGTTCTGAGAGTCTATTAGAGTCTCTGTCTAGTTTGAATGTCCAATGGAGTCTGAGATCTAAAATGGAGTCTGAGATGAATAGTCCCTGATCTGGTCACATGGTCTGCAGCCCCTCCCACAACATAGAGTTAAGGAAAACTGCATAGCAATACACACATATACAATACAGTAATCAATCTGAATTATATACATAACAAATAACTAGTGGAGGCTGTAGAAGGTTGCTATTTCCAGCAAGCTTAGCTCTCATTTCTTCATAATACCAGAATATGCTGGAAACCCAGAGCTGATGTGTCTAGGTCTTATGTGTACACAACTTGAGAGAGAGAAAATCATCTTGCTTTTAACAAGGAACAAAGGAGGGATAGAAATTAAGCAAATAAAATAAAACCGTGGACAAAGCACATTTCAATGTCCTGCATTTTGTATGCCAGGAATTTGCTGCAGAAATGGAGCATGGCTCCAGAGCTCTGCTTACAAATGGGACCAAGGGTCCACAGCCTAACTTACAACCATTGCTTCTTTGGTTGACATAACTGATAACCAACGAAACAAATTAAGGAAGAAAAGCAGCATTATATAATACAGAGAAGTTGAATCCCCCCAACTGATTCAATGGATGGAAGCAGTCGTGGATTGAAAACAGGGGCCTAATTTTAAAAGATGGGGCATTGAGAAGAGTCTGGTAAGCCAAGGGCATTTATCCAACAACAACATAGTATTTGCTTCTCAAGAAAGAATGTATATTTGTAATAATCCACACCAAACTGTTTTAGAGTTAGGAAATGTTGGTGTGTTTTCTTTGATAACAGTAGCTTGCACAAAACATCTGTACCTGCAGCAATTTATGTAAAGCTGTTTTACACTTCTGAAATGTTTGTATGCCTCCTTTGTTAATACGGGTCAGGAAAGCTTTAGATAAGTAGATAAGTCGTATGTATATAGCTTTAGCTGCCCCAATCTATGGACGTTTGGCTAGGATTTGTACTCATTTAAGTACACTTATTTTTATTCTGTAATGATAAAAATTATTTTATAACATATGCAGCTTCCTTCCCTTATTTGTTTTCTTTTGCTGGTTGTTCTATTTGGAGGCAGGCTTTCCTCTTGTTTTGTTACCATTGACACAAATGGTAAACCAGCCCTGTATGGGTTCCGATCAGTTGAGATATAACAGTGTATATCTTGTTCAACACACACTCTTACATACACAACAACAACAACAACAACAACAACAACAACAACAACAAAAACACTTACCTTAGTGTAAACTGATCTGTTCGAGAGCCACTGGCGAGGGATACATGAAACATGACAAGGTCCCCTTTCTTGACGGGGCTGAGTGGCAAAGACAGCACAACGTTGTCATCAAGATTCAGGACAGATTTCTTCAGCTTGTCTTGAACTGGGTAAAGAATAATACTTCCAATTCTCTCCATTGGCACTAAAGGCAGCTGTGCTTTCTCTTGGCCTTTTGGGTGTAGAAAGTTTTCGGGGCGTTGGTCCTCTGAAGAACACTCCCCATTCACTGAATACATCCAATAGAAAAGCTCCACAGTAGTCCCTTCCAAGGAACTGGCCATCTGTTGAAACTCTAGAAGTGATGGTGGCAATGCAGTGGCCAAGGCAGGGTTGAACCAGCTTGGTGAGAACTCCAGCTCGGCAACACATAACCCCAAAGGACCTTTCAAGCGACAGCTGCTGACAGCCACTCGATCCTCCTGGAAGGCCATCATCCGCACACAGGGCAGGATCTCAGAAGGATCATAGTCTTCCCAGTCTTTGCCAGAAACATAGAACAAAGCTTGGACTTTGGGCCTGTTAGAATAGACGGAGCTGTCAATGATATGCGACTGTAACTTCCAGTTAAAAGTGAACCGGTCAGCAAAACTGAACAAAGCAGAGGTCTGCAGGAGGTTCGGAGGCACGGTTTGTTCCACAGTAAATGGACCATAAGTAGCATTTAACCCAGGCAAGCTATTGGTTCGATAGACCAAGAAAGGCTCCGTTCGGGACTGCAAACTAGCATTCCTCATGATATCCTGGTTGGTTTCCTTCAAGAAGAAGGAAACGTTGGCATTGGAGATGCTATAACTCGCCGGGAGGTACACTGGCAAGCTTGCAAACCGCTGCATGCTGTCCACAATTCCCCCTCGGCATTCCACCACTGCAACGAAAGAAAAAGTGAGAGATAAATTATACCAAGTTTTAAAAAAGAATGAAAAAATCCCCATGGAGGCTCTTTTAGTGTAATTATGAGCCAGATATTCCAAAGCATATATTAGAACTCTTGGGACGTTATTTCTTAAGAAGATAACTCAGTGAAAGAAGGCAATGACAGCCCCCTGCCACACACTAATGTAACCAAGACAGAAGGTCCCCCTCCCCACACACATACTCAAAACAATGAAAAACAAAGTTATTGAATTCTAAGAGTTGGAAGGACCACACCCCCTTTCCCTTCACACCATCTTCTAGTAAAGTGGTTCTCAACCTTCCTAATGCTGCAACCCCTTAATACAGTTCCTTAGGTTGTGGTGATCTCCAACAATAAAATTATATTCGTTGCTACTTCATAACTGTCATTTTGCTACTGTTATGAATTGTAATGTACATATCTGATATGCAAGATGTATTTTCATTCATTGGGACAAATTTGGCACAAATACCCAATATGCCCAAATTTGAATACTGGTGCGGTTGCGGGGGACTGATTTTGTCATTTGGTTGTAGTTGCTGGGATTTAGATTTCATCTACAATCAAAGAGCATTCTGAATTCCACAAATGATGGAATGGAACCAAACTTGGCACACAGAACTCCCAAGACCAACAGAAAATACTGGAAGACTTTGATGGGCATTGATCTTGAGTTTTGGAGTTGTAGTTCACCTACATCCAGAGAGAACTGTGGACTCAAACAATGATAGGTCTGGACCAAACTTGGCACAACTACTCAAATGTGAACACTGGTATAGTTTCGCGAAAATAGACCTTGACATTTGGGAGTTGTAATTGTTGGGATTTATAGTTCATCTACAATCAAAGAGCATTCTGAACCTCAACAACTATAGAATTGGGCCAAACTTCCCACAAAGAACCCCACAAACTTCCCACATGACCAATAGAAAATACTGTGTTTTTTGATGGTCTTTGGTGACCCCTCTGACACCCCCTTGCGAGCCCCCCAGGGTCCCAACCCTCAGGTTGAGAAATGCTATTCTAGTGATTCCCCAGCTTTTGAAAGTTTAAAATACTGGCAGTAAATGCATTAACCAAAACGTGCTGGTAATGTAGAGTTCACCTTTTTTGCCTTTGGTCCCAAGAATGTGGCCCTCGAGGATTTTCCTGAAAACTGAATTTATCCCTCAATTTGAGAGAAGTTCCTTGCCATCACCCTTCAATCCTCTGGAACAGTTTTGGGAAAAGGAGGCAGGGAAATTTGTAAAAATGATTACTTCATTTTCCCAGCATGACTGCACCTCCCTTGAGTGCAAGTTGAGATCCAATTTTGTGGGAAGAAAAAACCCCACCCTGCCCATAGAATCAAAAATCTGCTCTTGATGGCAAATTTCTTTCCGTACGTCTCAGAACTGCATGTGCTCAGTAGCCAGCTATATTTTTAGTGTTATTTTGAAGTCAAGGAAGTCCACATCGCAAAGCGATTATAGAGGAACACCAACACATTACGATGAAACTTTGTTTTGTCTGCCTCGAAATCTCAAGATGTCAACTGAATGCTCAGCATTTATGGGGAGAGCCGATGCGTAGAGTCCCACCCCCTGAAACATTAAAGACTCCAGTGACACCCGCTACAAGCAGAGATATCTCCGATGGAGCCAGCAAAGGTTTTGCAGAGAGGAATAACCAAAACAACAATCAGCTGCTTTTAAGAAGGCTTTCCTTTTCTTTTCCCCAAACCACCTTTCTCAGACCTCCCTGCTAAATTGCTCACGAGACCTGTCATTTTGACTTGGCTCCAATCCCATTCCTCCTTCATTTTATAAAATCCAGGCCATTTATTTTTCACTTGCTTTGTGTGACATTTCCTTGCACTTCAATTCTTTCCTGCTTTTCAATCAAACCGACTCATCTCCCCCTTATTTCAACCTGTTTTTAAATGAGAGGGGGTTTTGTAAGTGGAGGAAGATTCCCCTTCTCCAGAAACATTGTGAGAAAAACATTGCTTTTATATAATATATATATATATATACATGGAGAACCCATCAGCTTTGGCTTTACATTTTTGGCAAAAGGCCTTGCATGACAGGTGGCTCTCTTCTTCACTTCTGGAAACAAAGGCCCCATCTACACTGCCATATAATGCAGGTTCATAATAATAATAATAATGATCATAATAATAAGAATATGCTTTATTTATATTCCGCTCTATCTCCCCAAGGGGACTCAGAGAAGATTACAGAATGCATTTATGGTAAACATTCATTCAATGCCATTATACAAATTAGCAGACAGACAATACATAGACAGAGGCAAAGCTTCCCTCTTTTCTTTTTTCTTTTTTTCATTTCTGGCATCTGGAGGCTGTGCTTGACTCAGCCATGGGGAGGTGCTGTTGTTCCATCCCTCCACACCTGAGGAGCCTGCTGTCCATGGACGCCTTGCTGGAATGTCTACAGGGGCACCCTCCACCTCCCCGTGAAAGCAGTACCTGTTTATCTACTCACATTGCTTTTTCCCAACTGCTGGATAAGCAGAAGAGCTAGAGCCGACGGTGGGAGCTCACCCCACCCACGGCTTGAACTACCGACCTTCCAATCAGCAAAATATTCTGTAATTAGCAGTTTAACCCACTGTGCTAACTACGCCCCAGATAAAGCAATGTATCTGCCTTGAATTGCATTCTATGACAGTGTAAACTCATGTAACACTGTTCAATGCAGTTAAACTACATTATGAAACTGCATTATATGGCAGTATTGATGGAGCCAAAGAAGAACCCCATGTCTAGTCCATGTCCCCAGAATGATCCACAGGTTTCTTTCCATGTCTATGAGAAGCGTCAACAGAGTGCCTTCTAGTGACTTTACCCGAAATGTATGTTTTTCCCCCCTTTCTTTCCTTTACAGATCCCAGTAGGTTGGCCTTATTTTGCCATTAAATGTCAGCAGTAGAAGAAAATGACAGCTCCTAAACCAGCCAACTAGCACTGATCAGAGCAATGCCAGACATTTGGGGATAGATGGAAAATTTCATTGGGAGGGAAGATTTCTTTTTTGGGAGGCAATGCTCTCCTTTTGCCCACACTTGTAGTTAACACTACCAGCTATAGACTTCAAAGACATAGCTGCGTTAGTCTGGAATATCAGTATGCAAAGGGATTTTGTAGCACCTAAGAGACTGCAAGCACAAAGCTGGAAGCATAAGCTTTCATAGGGAACATATACACTGTAATTGTCTTTTTACAGGGTCTGCTGCTAAGTAATGCTAGTTCCTCATCGGAGCCCCCAATAGCACAATGGGTTACACTCTTGTGCCAGCAGGACTGAAGACCTATATGTCATAGGTTCGACTCGGGGGAGCGCGGATGAGCTCCCTCTGTCAGCTCCAGCTCCTCATGTGGAGACATGAGAGAAGCCTCCCACAAGGATGGTAAAACATCAAAACATCCAGGCATCCCCTGGGCAATGTCCTTGCAGACAGCCAATTCTCTCACTTGCAGTTTCTCAAGTCGTTCCTGACATGAAAAAAAATCAAACTACAAATCCCAGGATTCCATAGCATTGAGCAGGCATGTAGCCGGGGGGGGGTCTTGAGGGGCTTCAGCCCCCTCCGAAATTCTCATGGTGGTTCGCGAAAAGGCCTTACTGGTGCATTATTTAAACTGTTATGTTTATTCATATCATGATCTGATCACCATACTCAGTATATCCCATATGCATGGGGGTATTGGGGTAATGATACAAAAGGTTTGCTAGGGTAGACCCTCTTTCACTCAGACTCAGCCCCCCCCCCCCCCGAATCGAAATCCTGGCTACGGGCCTGGCATTGAGGAATTAGATCTCAATACCAAAACCACACCCACATGTCCTGGCACATAAAGATTCAATGATTATTTTCTCCCAGGACCTCAATCCTGGATGAAGTTGTTTCTCAAGTAACCTAAGATTGTTATCTCCACTTCTTTCATAAGCTGTGTGTTGCATTGAGAACAGAATTAAGGAGGCTTGTTTTGATTATTCCTGGGGATTCCAAAAGTTGTCATTCAAACAAGTCATTTTTCCATGCTCTGGACTGAACACCCTGTCTCGGGTTGGATCCACACTGACTGTATAATGCAATTCCAAACTGCATTATAAGGCAGCATAGCTCCAGCCTCAGTTCCTTATGACAAAGATGAGGTATTCATCACAGCATTTCCTCAACGTCTTGCCTTAAGCGTGGTCTTTGCTGACAGCCCCAATGGCCTTGAATCCCAGGACTTAACTGAAAACTACATATGTGCTGATGTTATACTACATATTGTCTTTACTTCTTCCATTACCTAGGCATCTCGCATCTCTCAAGTCCTGATTTACAAGATGATATATAAAACATATACTCCTCTCCCCATTTCAATTTCATTCGAGTGACTGCAATTCAGAGCATCTTTTGAGAGTCGGGTGTGAGGCGGAGCATTCCAGCCCTGCTATAAGTCAAGGTGAACGATGCACAAATTTTGTCTGAGAGCTTATATGGGGAGCCATAAAACCCAAGAGACAGGATGAGGTTTGTCCCAGAATTTGCCTGCAACTAAATCTGATATCTGAATTTAGTAGCGTTTTACGAGGCCATCGGAACATCTAAAAAAGCCATCTGTCACCCAGGCGGAGGCAAACACCCCCCTCTTCAGTCCCAAGAATCAGAACCACCCCATGAATCTTGGTGGGAAATTAGTGAAAAATGAGGTGCCCAATCGGGCTATGGGAGCATAATGCAATATCTATTAAATCAGCTGTTACACTAATAGTGGTTGCATTAAAGTTCAGGGCGAAGGTAAAGAACATGAGCCAGGTCAATTTAAAAATAAGGCAATGGAAGAGAGGCAGGAAGCAAATTTGTAATGTGGAATATAGATGAGTGTTAACAGTGGCAGGCACATTTTGAATGTTGTACAAGGAAAAGAGCGAGAAACACAGGCCAGGGATAGGACTATCCATACTAAAATC